ATGCACAGCCAGCAACAACCAGACGGTTATACCAGGCCACAAGCTAGTCATGCACAGCTAGCCACAACTAACCAGTCATGCACAGCTAGCCACAATCAGCCAATCATGCTTAGCCAGCCACAGCCAGCCAGTCATGCACAGCCAGCCAGTCATGCACAGCCAGCTAGTCATGCACAGCCAGCCAGTCACAACTACCCAGTCATGCACAACCAGCCAGTCATGCGCAGCCAGCAAGCCTGTCATGCACAGCCAGCTAGCCAAAACTACCCAGTCATGCACAGACAGCCAGCCACAACTACCCAGTCATGCACAACCAGCCAGTCATGCGCAGCCAGCAAGCCTGTCATGCACAGCCAGCTAGCCAAAACTAGCCAGTCATGCACAACCAGCCACTCATGCACAGCCAGCCAGCCACAACTACCCAGTAATGCACAACCAGCCAGTCATGCACAGACAGCCAGCCACAACTACCCAGTCATGCACAACCAGCCAGTCATGCGCAGCCAGCAAGCCTGTCATGTCATGCACAACCAGCCACTCATGCACAGCCAGCCAGCCACAACTACCCAGTCATGCACAACCAGCCAATCATGCACAGCCAGCTAGTCATGCACAGCCAGCCACAGCCAGCCAGTCATAACCAGTAAACACTCATTAACATGTTAAACCATGCATTCCGGGCAGCTGCAAGCCACTTTATCTAACCAGCCTCATCAAATTGAAGTGAACGTGAGAGAGAGGAAATTCTCAGATCCGCGGAGGAGACTCCCTCAACATTCCCGAACGGATTCCACATGCACCCACGCAACATCACTTTGGATTTTAACATGCCTGCTGCTTGTGTCTTTCAGCAAATTGGGAAACTTATTAAATGAAAGAGAAAAGATGATGGGAAATAAAAAGGTAATGGATGTATTGAATCAAGCTGTAGAGAGCGCTGCCTTCTAAAAATTCAAATAATAATCAAATGAGTTTAAATAAGCATTTCCTAGAGGTTAATCTCGTGTAACAGAAGACAGGCCTGAAAAGGATACTGACATTTAATTTTTTCCCGAAATGTTGGAAATTAGCTGCACAATACTTTATATATGAAAGGGACGTAATAAAATAAACCACCGCATACAGTATTTATCACTACCTCCGATTTGATACCAAGAGATAGTGTAGGACTTACACGTGTACGACTTGTGAGCAATTTCAAGTCATCAGAGATCAACGTTTGGGTCAGAGCACCCATTGGGGAATAAAGGGTAGAAATAAAGCAAATTTGTGCTGTACTGTGGTACTACACCATATATTCGAACAACCTAACGTGCATTTTCTGTACTAAATACCACTAACTAGACGAGCATGATAACACAAAAAATACATTTCTTTATTATCAGACACGTGCTTCATTACTTTAGCAATATTTCATTTACTTAACATACTAGATGCGAGCAATATACATATATACTGCTGAAGTTGGCATGTAGAGCCCCATGGCAGGGAGTCTTAGTATAGATATGAATATTGTTTACGGTAAATTATGAAATGTATTTTCTCTATTATATAACGTACGAGGCTAACATCAATAACTAAAAGAAAATGGAAAAGGAGAGAAATGCAAATAGCTTATTGTGAACTATTTTGAAGCAGAAAGACAGAACGACTCGGACAGGCAGAGAGAAAGACAAACAAATATTCCGAGAAGTAAATAAATACACCAACAGTTAAAGGAGAATGAAGAAAAGAAATAACATTTGGTCATTCGCGAGGGATAAGGACCTTCAGGGCTATATAATTTTAAGGTCACAGAAACGAATGATGATCTATGGAATATAGAGAAGCCAATTCCTTCATTTTCAAGTCAATAGGAACGCTGAACTGTATTGCTTATGATGCATGTGTCCCACAGCTTATTACGAATTGGGTCCTTGGGAACGTATGTCTCGCACTCAAGTGTAAAATATTTGTGATATAAATTGGACGTGTTTATATCGCAACAATAGTTACGAATAGCATTATAGTTACTACTACTATTACTATTACAGTACTACTAGGACTGTTATAATTTTACTGTTGTCATTGTAACAATAACAGTAATAATAATCATTATTACTATAACGATAATAGTGATGACAACAAAATGATAATTACATTATTATCGTTATTATTATTATTATCATCATCATCATCATCATCATCATCATCATTATTATTATTACTTTCCATCACCATCACCACTCTCTCTGATACTGCCCTTTAATTCGTGCTCTAGCTAGTCTTATTTGCATCATTATTATATTCGCTATCATCATCAACCTCTTCATTATCATCATCACCGTTATCATCCTCATCATTATTATCATTATTACCATCACCATCACCATCTTCATTATCATGATTATCACATTCATAATAATCATTAGCAACACTGTTGTTATCGCCCTTGTTACAAGACTCATATATATCTATATGAGATGTCAACCCGACGAACATAAAACGATAAACGAAAATT